ATTTCATTAAAAAAATGGGTATTTTGTTGTGTTTTGGGGCATTTAAATAAATTTGTCACAAAATTTGGGGGTTTAATAAGGAGTTGCCCTAATATTGCGCAACATAAAAATTTGCAACTACCACCATTTTATTCTATAGGGTCTTGGCATTCAGAAAATATATAATGTTTGGGGGTTTTAAGACATTTTCAGGCCTAAAATGTGGAATATAACATGGGTGCAAAAAATGAAAAAAAGGCCTCAGTCATGAAGGGGTTAAACTATGATGGAAATTTTCTGTAATATGAAATATTTTAATTTTAAGGAAGAAAAAGCATAAGTACAGCCTTCGCAGGGGCAATATGCTTTATAATATAGTAATAGAATAACCAGTATAATAGAGGCGTTAACAATATAATAGTCTTGTGGGTTTCTAAAATAGGAGTGCAGAACTGTAGACAACATATTCCCACAGATCTCCCCAGATAAGATAAAAAGCAGAACCAAACAGAAAAAAGGGAAGAAAAAGGGGTGGTTGAAGCAACTGAATACTATACTGGCTAAAAGAGCATTGCTGACCTCCTAATAATGCAAGCCATAGGATTATCATGCAAATAGCATGAAAGAGGGGGAGAGAAGGAGGAGGGGAACAAGGGTCAGGGTGTGCCCCCACGCAACTGGCACCCTTTAAAGGACCACAAATCTAAAAACAGCCAAGAGAAGCTGGACCTATGAGGAAAGTCTGTAGGTCAGCCTGGATTCCATAATTTCACTTGAAAGAATACTGGTCAATTTTTCATTCACCATGAGTGTGTTCATATGTTCTTTAACTTCCTGTGTAGGTACGCTGGGCTTCCTCCAAGCCTTTGCAATTGTTTGCTTAGCCACCAGGAACAAATAGTCAACCAGTGTTTGTCTTGTGGCCATAAGCCCCGGCATAGGTCACTGCAACAGTGCGACCCAGTGGTGATGCAGAGAAATAATATGAAAAAAGGAAAGACCAAAAATTCTGGACCAAAAGGCCACCGATTTAGGGCATGACCACCATACAGTATATGAATAACATCACCTAAAAGACTACATTCACAAAAACACCTGCCACTATAAGATGGGGCCGCTATTCTTGCCGATACCCAGTACCCTGCAAAATAATCCTAAATGCCAATTCTAGAATAGACGTATAGAATGAACATCTAGCCACCCTGGACCAGATGTTCCCCCAATTCTCCAAGTCTATAGTTGTACAAATAGCCTGCTCTCATTGCCACACATAGGAGAATTGTGAGTTTATTGTATAAGAATTCAAGCTAGAGTATAAAACAGAAATCAGAAACAGGAGCGTGGAATCAAAGCTCAAAACCAGATTTTGTACAATGAAACTCAGCGTTCCGGATAAGTGCCCCCATACAGTGTCTAAGTTGAAGATATCTATTAAATTCCAAAGACGGAGCACTGTATCGTTCCAGAATCGCCGCCCAGTCCAGGAAAGAATGCAGATTGAGAATGCAATTAAGATGTGGAAGGCTCTTCAATACCCACCACGAGAAAGATGCAGGATTTTCCCATCCCAATTGAAATAGCGGGTTGTTAACAATAGGTAACAGAGGCAAGAACAGTGAAAACAAGTTACCAGTGTACCTGATGGAATCCCTCAGCTTAAAGGCCGTGACACACTGCACGCGAAGCCGTGCAGAGCGAAGCAAAGCTATCCGGCATGGAGCTTTGCGTGCAGTGTGTGAGCTGAGTGCAGTCAGATGATTGACAGCACCTTCAGCCAATCGGCTCGTCCGTAATAACCTGCCAGCTGTCGCATCGCGACGCGCTGGTTTATACGCGCGAGCCGATTGGCTGAAGTTGAAATTGTTCATCTCTGCGCGCTCAGCTCCGCGAGCTCTCGCCAGCTGAGGTGACGAGCAGAAAATTACATGACACACTGCTCGCAAAGGCAGCGCGCCCCCTCTCCGCGCTGCTCCGTGTGCAGTGTGTCACGGCCTTAAGACTTTGTAGCATTTAGTGGACTTAAGGAAGTTGGTTGTTTAGAATGTGGTAACCATAGCACGGCCGATATTGGAATCTTGTCACTATTCAGAATCTCTAGAAAAACCCATAAAGGAACATTGCTGGTCGCATGTACAGTAGAAAGGATAGCTGCAAAACCTGGGCTGCCTGATAATATTTGACAGTGTTATATACACTAAGTTCTCCCTGTAGCTTGTGGGAATACATGGTGGAGTAAGCTATATGTGGAAGCATATGAGCCCATATAAAGAGAAAAATCGTCCATTGTAATAGACGTAAGTAGAAAGCCAGTACTCTAACCGGTGAAGAGCGGAATAAGGATTTTAGGAAGAACGTAATTTTAAATGCATTAATATGTCCTATCCAAGATACAGTATAAGTCTGTATCTTACAGGAATTACAGGGTAGTTCCAAGTCTGCATCAATGACAACAGGGTATGCAAGACAGGATAAGGTCCGATTCACACCATATGCACTGGGGCTGCATTGGTTGTTTCCAGCGCAGCCCCAATGCAAGACAAGGCAATGTGCCTTGTCATGGACAGGATTGATTCACACCACCATGTTGCGATGGGTACAGAGTGGTGTGCACTGAAAAAAGTACAGTACACTTTACTTTTTTTTCAGTGCAGCAGGATACGACACGGAACCTCCTCCTCGTACCCTGGTGTCCCTGCAGAACTGAATGAAATGTCACTTGTGAAAAGAAAAGAATCACAGGTAAGAAACCTTGCAATAGAGTCATAAAAATGATTTGTTTGCGAAAACTGTATACATCCTTGTTCCATTGCATTTAAGACCGGAATCCCAATGTAATAGTTAAGTAGGTGCTGGAATGACTTGCGGATGGCGCCGCATAGAATTTAAACATCAACAAGGTAGTCACCTGCACACCAAGAATCAGTGTTTCAAAGCGTCTATGTATCAGAAGTCACTATGTTTGCCTGATGAAGGCACCGCTGTAGGTTCAGAAAGCTGTTACATGTGATGCCATGAATAACTGAGATCAGATGCTTTGATACATTGGATCTTGGTGTGCAGATGACTACCTTGTTGCTAACAGTAAACAGTAAAACAAAATGCCAAACATACCGAAAAATAGATTTAGAGTTAACATACATTTCATATATTTAAGCCTTCTAAATGGTCTACATAGCTATGATTAGGTGGTCTTAGTGACCAAGAGTGAGTCATGGCAGACAGGAGGCATAGACCTGAGCTCTCAACCACAGGAGCTAGGGTTAGCATCATAAAGCACTTCGGGGCTTACAGGGTGAACATGACCTCCAGAGTTGACACAAGATCCTAGTGTCTAAGTTAGCTGCAACATTGGAATGAAAACTGGTTATGAACAGTAATTTCGGTAGCTCTTAACGCAATATTCCTATTTTAATAGGACAAGAATTCTCCACATTTCATGTTCATGTTCTTCATAATATTAAGAAACTGACCTAAAATCATGATTTTGTATTGCCTTAGAAAAAATGTGACCTGTCCTTTAAGAAAAAGTATCGGTAATTGGTATTGGTGAGTACTTGGGAAAAAGTATCGGTACTCGTACTCGGTCTTAAAAAAGTGGTATCGGTGCATCCATATTCTATACTAAACCAAAAACAAACCCTTACATTTCTCCATTGTGATATGTGGTAACTTCCCAGCTTACATTTTAGATAGAAAAGATCCTAGAAGCAATCAATACTGGATATGTAAACAAACAAACAAAAAAGTCTGTGTGTCATGTTTTATCCTTAAACCACAGAGAAGTTGGGAGTATCTGCTTACCAGACAATGCTATCTTATCTGGAACCTGTAATTGAATTCCTTTAGGTCTGAGTGCTCCCCCTTGGATAGGAAAAGTGAAATGGACATTGAACTCTTCATAGAATGTCGGTGCATGAGCAACACCAGGAAATCTGAAAGAAATATTTCAGTATGTCAGTAACTTGAGGTATGGAGTAGATCCACCATAAATATAGAAATATATCCATTTGAAGGGTTTAGATTCCGTCTGGAAAATCAACAAAGAAAATTACTGGATGTTACATAAAGTTTATTCTCATCTACAGGAGAACTAAAAAATGCATTTAGAGCCCGTTCAAACCAAAATTAGACCAAAAATATATGTTGACATGCAATTTTAACCTCTGTTGACTTCCATTGGATTCTGTTGCCTTGTTTTATTTTATTTTTTGCCAATCTTTATTTTAATTTACATGTCCTGACTTCAATAATAACCCCCAACATTTTGTGTGAGTAACTGCAATAATAAACACCAAGGCACTAACATACTGTACCTCCCAATGCCAGCAGTGTGCTGCCATTTAGTGTGGGTGTAGCTACATAGGACTTAATATTGGGCATGGTTTTAAGGGGCATGGTTAAATAGAGTCTGGGTCTATGAACAGTATACACTGCACATGTCTGCTGCAGTCTTTTAACAAACGGTTTGGTCAGGAGTATGTAACATTGAGCACAATATAAAAATTGCAGCGGTTAGGATTATGTAACAGTGTCCCCTTATATTGCTGGTCAATGGAAGAGAGAGAAATACCCTGGCGTTCGTAGTCAGCACTAGAAAGAAAAGAAAAAGAAGTGAGAGAAAAAAATGCCTGACGTCATTGTTCATTAGGTAAATATTATGAAATTAGGTAAATATTATTATTATTATGCAAATAATACAGACATTTCTCGTTTAACGACCTACCTGTTTACCTACTGCTCGGACTTACAACCGGGGGTGTGTTTTCAGACTTACGACGGAATTCGGACTTGCGACCGCGTGGCGCGCAGTTCAGGCGTAGGAACAAGAGCGGCATTGCGGCTTCTTCTACAATACTGTACAGTGCGGCCTATGGTGACTTCTACTGCTACACTGCGACATTGATTCTATGCATAAAATCTACAGGTTTCTGGGTGAGTACTATGCAGCATACTGTCTACAGTACAGTACTGTATGGATAGTACAGTACTGTATATTTGCAATACTACAGTACTGTATATGCATGGTGTGCCAGCCATTCCAGCCACCTTGCTGTTTCTCTGATGTGCAGCCCAGGTGGTACCTGTAGTGTGACAATGTACAGTACTTCTTTTTCTTGAAGAGTAGTGTTGGGAGATCTGGGTACCTTATTCCATACTGTATTGTTTATTTTGTACCCCTTAGTACAAGATGTCATCAAAACGAAAGAGTGAAAACATCAACAGGTTTTAAAGCCATAATAACTAGGCAGCGGAAAGGCCTCATCCATGACATGGAAAAATTATTGGCGATCTGGTTTGATGACCAAATACAAAAAAGAATGCCAATGAGTCTTTCAATCATTCAAGCCAAGGCACTCAGTATCTTCAAGACTTTGAAGGCACGTGAAGGTGAAGAGTCGACTGAAACTTTCACAGCAAGTCATGGATGGTTTCAGAGGTTTTGTCGCAGATTTAACCTGCATAATCGGAGTCTCAGTGGTGAGGCGACAAGTGCAGATGTAGAAGCAGCAGAAAAATGTCTTGACCAATTTGATAAAATCATAGAGAAAGGCGGCTTCTGTCCAGAACAAATCTTCAATGTGGATGAAACCGGACTTTTTTGGGAGAAAATGCCTGAAAGGTCGTACATACACAAAGAAGCTAAAACAATGCCTGGCTTCAAGGCTTTTAAGGACAGGGTCACATTGTTGTTGGAAGGAAATGTTACTGGGTTCAAGTTGAAGCCTTTACTCATCTATCGGTCTGAGAACCCACGTGCATTGAAGAACGTTAGTAAGCACACATTGCCTGTTTACTATCGAGCAAACAACAAAGCATGGATGACGCAAGCTTTATTTGAAGATTGGTTCAATAACTGCTTTGCACCCTCGGTGAAGCATTACTGTCTGGAAAAGGGCATTCCCTTTAAAATCATCCTTCTGCTTGATAGTGCTCCAGGCCACCCCCAGCATCTTGATGATCTACACCCAGATGTAAAGGTAGTGTATCTGCCTAAAAACACAACTGCTATCCTTCAGCCAATGGACTAGGGGGCTATAGCTACATTCAAAGCATACTATTTGCGCACAACTTTTTCCAAAGCTGTAGCAACAACAGAAAACAATGAAGTAACCCTTCGTGATTTCTGGAAATCATACAACATTTAAGAGTGCATTAAGAACATTGCATCAGCTTGGGAAGGAGTGACAGAAAAGTGTATGTAAGGCATATGGAAAAAATGCCTAAAACGTTTTGTGCATACATCAGAAGCATTTGACAAAGATGAACATGTCAATCTTATAAACGAAACAACTGTGGAACTTGCTAACAAGCTTAATTTTGAGGTTGAACTGCAAGATATTAAAGAATTAGTGGAATATACTGAGGGAGAGCTAAGTACGGAAGATTTAATAGAGTTGGAAGCACAGCAACACTTAGAAGAGGAGGAAGAAGAAGAGGAAAGAATTGAAGAAGTACCAAAGAACTTCACTGCAAAGGGATTAGCGGGTGTGTTCTCAAAAGTGAATGCAGCTATGTTAGAACTGGAAGCTATGGATCCGATTGTTGAACGGTTCACAAAAGTGGAAAGGCAAATAAGTGAACTTTTACGTTGCTATCATGAAATTTATGAAACAAAAAAGAAAATGACAAAACAGACCACACCAACGGGATTTTTCTCGAAAACTACACCCAGGACCCCTATTACTAGTTCTTCCATTTCTACTTCATCATCTCCCGTGCCTTCTACATCTCCTGATCAGAATTCCGATGATGACACTGACGATACCTTTTTAGGATTCAAAGACTAACAGGGCTATTCACTAAAGGGTGAAGAGTTTGGAGAAGGGAGGAGAAGTGAACAATCTAATACAAAATAGCTGATTTGGGAAAATTCTCCAATTCAGCTCACTTTCCAGTTCAGCTATGTTGTCCTAGATTTTTCACTTCTCCTGCCCTCTTCAAACTCTTCACCTTTTTGTGAATAACCCTGTTAAATGTTAGCTTGAATTTATTTTATTTTTTTTGGTACAATTCTGTACAACTTGTTTAGTACAGTACAGTACAGTACAGTACAGTACAGTGTGGTACCATGTTAGCCATCGATAAATGCAAGATGTATGAAACCCTGTAATCCCCTTAATTTAACTGGAGTTAAACTGCAGTTGTCAAACATGCAAGCCCCCAGGATTTGAGTAATCCCAACAGCTTGCATCCCCAACAACTCCAGCCAGCCAACAAAGGGCACCACAAAATTTCTTGTTTAGTAAGCCTCAATGTCTTTTTTTGTACAGTACACCTTGTTTATACAGTACAGTACTGTTTTGCTGATTGTACTGTACAGTCCAGCTCTAGTACTACTTTTATGCAAATAAAATCAAAGTTATCAAGTTGGAGTTTCCTTTGTCCATTTCTTTGCTCTGAATATTGTAATGTACATATTTTACTGTACTGTATACAATTCCTCGTTTAGCGACCGATTAGTTTAACGACCTAGTCGTAGGAACGGAACTCGGTCGCTAAACGAGGAATGTCGGTAATGTATTATATAAATATGCAAATGACCTGCTGTTGGTTGTCTGTAGGAGAAAAACTGCTACCGTTATTAGTTAGTGGCTAGTAGCTACCACCAGCATTGTAGTTAGTAACTAGACAAAATCTGCTGGCTCCAAAGCTTGACACTCAAACTTTATATAAACTGCTATGTTCTGTCAATGCTATCCATGGGTTCAGACCCATAGTACCATTAACAGACATGTGCAGCTGGACTTTCAGAGGGAACAGCCTACTCGTACAGCCCGTACATACCATCTAAACATGAAAAAGATCACAAGGCCACAAGGGTTTTTAAGGAGATAACCTAATGAGGCCTCATTTAAATGTAAGCTAGGTTAGAAGAGTTCAGGGTCAGTGGGAAATAACACAGAGCTCAGGGGTCCATAGTAGAGCAGAGTGCAGAGGTAATTCGTATGTAAGGCAGAGTTCAGAGGTCAGTTGAATGTAATGCGGAGAGCAGGGATCAGGAGTACTGTAGAGTTTAGATGTCAAGAGTAAGTAACACAGCTGGCAAGGGTCAAAATGTAAGGAAGGTTAGAAGAGTGCAGGGGCAGCTCTATGGGGTCAGTAGTAAGTAATGCAGAGTGCAGCAGTTAAGATTAAGTAATGTAAAATGCATGAGTTAGTAGAACGTAATGCAGTGAGCAGAGCTCAGGAGTAACGCAGAGTGTAGGGGTGAGCAGTATGAAACACAGAGTGCATGGTCATGAGGAAATACCGCAGAGTGCAGGGGGTCAGTACAAAGTAACACAGAGTACAGGGATCAGTAATAAGTAACGCAGAGTACAGGGGTCAGTAAAAAGTAACGCAGAGTACAGGGGTCAGTAAAAAGTCATGCAGAGTGCAAGGGTCAGTAATAATTAACGCAGAGTGCAGGGGTCAGGAGTACGTAACGGAGAGTGCAGGGGTTTATAGTCACGGAAAGTGCAGGGGCCAGGAGTACGTAATGCAGTGTGCAGAGGTCAGCAATACGTAACACAGAATGCAAGAATTAGCAATACTTAAGACAGAGATCGGGGTCTCTAGTAAGTAACACACAATGCAGTGGTCAGTAGTACGGAGAGTAGAGGGATTAGGAAAATGTAAGAAAGAGTACAGGGTCAAGAGCTTGTAAGAAAGAGTGCAGGAGGGAGTCTGTAGTGACTAACGCAGAGTGCAGGGGTCTGTAGTGACTAACGCAGAGTGCAGGGGTCTGTAGTCACTAACGCAGAGTGCAGGGATCTGTAGTCACTAACGCAGAGTGCAGGGGTCAGTAGTGACTAATACAGAGTGCAGGGGTCAGTAATACATAACACAGAGTGTAGGGGTCAGTAGTGACTAATGCAGAGTGCAGGGGTCTGTAGTGACTATTGCAGAGTGCAGGGGTCTGTAGTGTCTGGTGCACTGGCCTGGTCAGTAATACATAACACAGAGTGCAGGGGTCAGTAATACATAAAACAGAGAGCAGGGGTCAGTAGTGACTAATGGAGAGTGCAGGAGTCTGTAGTGACTATTGTAGAGTGCAGGGGTCTGTAGTGAGTAACGCAGAGTGCAGGGGTCTGTAGTGACTAACGCAGAGTGCAGGGGTCTGTAGTGACTAACGCAGAGTGCAGGGGTCTGTAGTGACTAACGCAGAGTGCAGGGGTCTGTAATGACTAACGCAGAGTGCAGGGGTCTGTAATGACTAACGCAGTGTGCAGGGGTCTGTAGTGACTAACGCAGAGTGCCGGGGTCATTAATACATAACACAGAGTGCAGCGGTCTGTAGCGACTAACATAGAGGGCAGGGGTCAGTAATAAATAACACAGAGTGCAGGGGTCAGTAATACATAACAAAGTGCAGGGGAAAGTAGTGACTAACGCAGAGTGCAGGGGTCAGTAATACATAACACAGAGTGCAGGGGTCTGTACTGACTAGCACAGAGTGCAGTGGACAGTAATACATAACACAGAGTGCAGGGGTCAGCAGTGACTAACGCAGAGTGCAGTCTTCTGCAGTGACTAACGCAGAGTGCAGTCTTCTGCAGTGACTAACGCAGAGGGCAGGGTTCTGTAGTAACTAACGGAGAGGGCAGGGGTCTTTCGTAACTAACGCAGACTGCAGGGGTCTGTAGTGACCAACGCAGACTGCAGGGGTCTGTGGTGACTAACACAGACTGCAGAGGTCTGTAGTGACTAACGCAGACTGCAGGGGTCTGTGGTGACTAAAGGCAGACTGCAGGGGTCAGTAATACATAACACATGCAGCCGGTGCACTGGCCCCGGGCGTAAAGTTGAAGGGGGGCGCCGGCCGAAAATTGCACTTTTGGCTAAGTGCCGAATGTGCCATTTTGTCGGTGCAGCCGTGATTTCTTTCCTCCCCGCTGTGTGTCCCAGCGGGAAGGAGAGAAAGTGACAGCCGGCGGAGCGCTGCGGGGGGAGACCGCCGTGTGCGGCTGGTGCCTCTCCTCCCACACCGCTCAGCCGCCTATCACAGTCCGGCAGAGAAGTGTGGGGGCGGAGACAGCGGTTTCACAGGAGGCTGGGTTTTCCTCCATGCACTGCTCGCTCAGCCTCCTGTGACAGCGTGTCAGAGAGGAGAGCGAGAGCAAACACTCCTCTCTGAGTGTTTGTAGATAATTGAGGATATGGTATGGTTACTGTATCCTCAATTATGAATGGGAGTGATCAACATCCCCTCCTGTTCATTCATAATTGTAATTATAGTAAACATACCATTTCCTCGTGTTATCAATGAACAGGAAAACTCAGAAAGGATTCCTGCTCATTGATAACAGGGGATACAGAAAAAGAGATTGAGGACTGTGTGTTCTCAATCTCTTTTTCTATTGGGGTACACTACAGGTGGCAGCATGTTATTCCCTCATGGAGCTCTGAGCTGGTGGTGTTGCCCACATACAGGAGGCTCATGATTGCACTGACCGCAGATTCAATGCTTTGCTTGCTCCAATGCAAAAAACGAAAAAAGCACATATTTTCTATTAGCTATATCATGGGTGCATTAATTCAGTTGTTTTAACATGTCCTCAGCAATAAGAATTTACTTTACGCACAGAAGTAGAAGATTTGTTATGGAAGTGTTCCGCAGGAAAAGAGAAATGTGTTGGCCGGTTACCGTCCAGGAAATCAGTGCACACTATGGGAATGGCGGACATTGTCTACCACGCATTGCTCACCTTCCGGCCAGCACACATCGCTCCCATTACAGACGAGCCGGCGCTTTGGTTGCCATAGTGATGTCAGTGTTGTCAGTCCAGGCAGCTCTGAGCACAGCACACTGACACAACATGCCGGAGAAGGCTGTGGTTACCTTGCGGTACGGCCCCTATATGAACTGCTCCGGTGTGGTGCAGCACAGACTGTCCCGGCTGGAGGGGCTGAGAGGTAAGGAAGCGACCATTACCGTGCGGGGAGACGTCCCATATCCCAGCAGTACATCAGAGCCCGGGAATCCCCGATCCACAATAACGGGGTCACAAACTATAGATAAAGGATAGTCATGTATGGGATTATACACAACGAAAGTGTAACTGGCTCTTTATTTTTCTCTTTGAATGTACATAGAGGTGGAATATTACATCATGCTTGAACTGGAACTCTACAAAATAAATAAAGTGTGAACAGACAGAGATCCTATTCCAGAAGTCATTGATGGAATTCACGAACAGTCTCTATGACACTCTGTAGCATCCAGTGGTGCGTCCACACAACAAATATCAGTGCTTGCACAAGATTCATGTACCTAATGGAAACCGGTACATGAATTTGGCGCAAGCAGCGACATTTGCACCCAGGGGCGTATCTGCGTTTGCCTCGGGCAGCAGATTCCAGAGGGTGGGTCACTCCTCCCATGACTGAGTCATTTTGGTGTCACTCCTCCAATGGTGTCACCCGGGTGCGGGCAGCACCCCCCTTGTGACGCCACTGGGACAGCTGACAGCTTTGTGAGGTAGAGACATTTTGTGCTACTTATACATTGCTAGTAGTATGCTAGCATAGAGTTATACAGTGCTATAGTCAGTGCTGTATATTGCCACTTCTACATTACAGTGAATTGCAGTGTGGTGGGCTGCAAAGAGTGGAGTGTAATCAGTGTCATCGGTGCTCAGTTACTATGAATTGCATTGTGGTGTCACCAACCCTTGCATTCACATTGCACTCAACCTTCCTTTTTAGGACTATTTTTTTATGTCTGTATAGCTGTTTAGCTGCTGCTACCCTTTATGGGATATTTTTTTTTTCATTGTTTTAAACTTTTCTGTAAAATAAAAAATCTAAAACACAAGTTCCAAAAAAGCAGTTTGAGTTCTATTGTTTTAGAGTTTTAGAGTTGGGTTTAGGGTTTTAGTTTTATTGTTTTATTTTTATAGAGTGTTTTTCTTTTTTCTTTCTGGGGTCAGCGGCATGAACTTAGTGGTGACACATACAAAGCTGCCCTTTGTTAGCAGTGTATCACTGCATATAATCACCACAGTGTCAAGTGAACAAAAGCAGCACCTCTTCAATCCTCCTGTTACCATGGCTGCTAATAAAATTAGGTAATTCTCTATTGTCATAATCAACATGCTTAAACCGCTGTTGGCGTGCCACCATTAATATCTTCTGCTGCTGGTATGCCAGCCATTACCATCTACTGCTGCTGGTCTGCTATCCATTAAAATTTCCTGCCACCACTTTTGGCCTGCCATCTAGAGCTTCAACTAATGATTATTTTCATAATTGATTAGTTAGCCGATAATTTTTTTCAAACAAACAAGGTTTACTTCAGAATAAAATGGTATGCACATTTTTTGCAATCGCACGGCACTGGAATGGCATTGTAGTACCGTGGATTCCAGTGCGGGCGGGAGGCGCATTTGGGGTGCCATTGAAATGAATGGCACCACAACACACATCCTGCAGCAGATTTTGTCAGGCCGAAAACCAAAAATTACCTTTCCCACCCTTTTTTTTTATATATATGTATATTTTAATAATTGTATTTATTAAATTAGACAATTAAATTAGTTTCATGGATTTAAAATAATATGAATTGTAAAACTTCAATATATTCTCCTACAGGTCCACCTCTACCGATTGACAGCAGGTAGTGGGCGGGTGCAATAGCCAGCCTGCTATTGGCTCTTGCAATTTAAAATATCCAATAGCAGGCTGGCTATTGTTTCTAGCCGCTGATGGGAGACTTGATGCCGGTGTTCTATCAATCCCTCGGACTCCGAGGGATTGATAGAACACAGGCAGAAGAGGGGACATGGGGAAGCAGAGGAGGAAAGGGCGGGCAGTGGAGGAGGAACCGGGTGGCAGCGGAGGTACCAGGGGGGAGGGGCAGTAGGGGAATGCAGAGGCACCACGGTCTCTTCTCCCCTTTGGTACTGGCTGCAGTGGTCTGTGTCCCCGTTGCCTCTGCCGATACAGGTGGGGAGAGCATCAGGGATTGAAAGCAACACCGCTGCAGCCAGCACCAGCAGGGAGGAGAACAAAGGAGCAGAGTGGCTGTGGGGGATTCAACTAATCTAAAATCAACTAATCGATAATGAGAATCGTTGAGAACAATTCTCATTATCGATTATAATAGATTTTATCGATTAGTTGTTTCAGCCCTACTGCCATTCATTACCATTTCTTGCCACTACTGTTGGCATGCCATCCATTAACATCTCCTGCCACTGCCTGCTATTCAATCTCATCTCCAACCACTGATGCCACCTGCCAGTGCTGACTGTACATTATTTCTGCCTTATGTCTCTGACATAATCCAATGCAATTTTTTTTTCCAGATAAAAAGTGCCTTGTCCCTCATTCCTAAAATGTGGCCTACTTAAAAGGCATACCTGTTTCGGTGAAATATTTCTGTTGTCGCTTAGCAGAGCACACAGTGCCAGTGTACTGGATGAAGGAGGCTGCTGTACGCAAATGTATTAGTCCCTACATGGACTAATGTCGGAGGACATTAATTCTTTAATGGCCACCAATGTAAGTGAAATTCTGAATATCCATTTCATTGGTGGCCAGTGGGAAGAATTCTGAATGTCCATTTCATTGGTAGCCAGTGGTGATTAGTGATATGCCTCTTACAAAAAAAATGGCACCTTTTATATTGGGGGTCACTATGAAGAATGCAGAATTTTTCCCACTGTCCACCAATGCAAGGGTCATTACCACCAACGTCAAATGTAAGGGATCATTCTTCATCCCACTAATGTAAGGGGCATTGTTCCGCCTACCAGCCACCAATGTAAGGGACAATCATCCTCCTACCTGCTACCAATGTAGGGGCATTCTTCCTCCTACTGGACACCAGAGTTAGGTCTTTATGTGTTAGAATGCCCCTTACATTGGTCATTAGGATGAATGACCTCAACATTGGCAGACAGTGGAAAGAAATCCCCTTTACATTTAGGACCCATTGGAGGAAGCATCCCCATTTTTTTCCTTTATTTGTACGGTAGTTTTTTTTTGTGTTTTACTGATAATGAATGTTTATATAGTATATTCAGCGTTTAATGAAAGACATTGTTGAACATTTCAGTTTGTTTTCTGTCACGCTATTAAAGCCCAATTTCAGCCAAAGCGTTATTTAGCCTAGGACCCCTAACTTTTAATCACCTATTAACCCCCCCCCCCCTCCAGTTGTAGCTGTAAGAAGGTGGTGGGTGGAGGGTATCCCTCTTCCAGATCATTTAGCTAGGTGTATGTATAACATGATATTGTGCTATCTGCTATCTGTAGGCAATGCTTAGATGTAAAGTAGCCACATGTAGCCCTGGATTACCAGATTTGTACTCATCACTTTCTGGCTGCAAGGGTTAAACATGTTCTATTTATATGATATATTTTATATTTACTGGACTATAAGACATTTATAAAATTCAAAACATGCCTCCTCTGTAAACCCTTGCTTTCTTGCTGTGGCTCAAATTTTCCCCTCGTTGCACCAGCCATTATCTCCTTTGATGCTGCTGTGTTTGGTTCCAGCTCTGTGGCCTTCTGGACAAGACAGCTGCACTAGCCAGCTTCAGGAACACTGGATGAAGTACTTGACCTCCAACCCTCCATTCTTTGGTGTTGGTACTGATTGCTTTCCTGCATCCTTTTGTCCTTAATCTGCATATTATTTTGGCAGAAACAAGCCAAACTAGCATCTTGTGATTGCAGAGAGTATTTAACTCTAGCTCACCTGCAGTGTTATAAGCTATTTCACATCCATTTCACCATGAAAAGACCCCATTCACACTGAGCGACATGGAAATCGCGTGACTTTGAGCGACGTCGCGCAACATCTTCCTATTGGGCTGTATGCAATCAGGAGCAATATCACTCAAAATCGCTCTAAAAAAGGGTCATGTAGAAGCGACAAGCTGCCAGCGACGAGCTACAAGCGATATTGAGCGATATTGAGCGACATTGAGCGACGAGATGTGAACAGCTACATTGAAATGTATTGGTGAAGCTACATAGAGCGATATAGCGCGGAAATATGAGCGATATCGCTGCAAAAATCGCGCGATAAATCGCTCAATGTGAACGGGGCCTAAGAGAGCAGATAAAACACGATGACCAGCACACAGTAGACTGGCAGCCACTATTATAGGTACACAACGTTAATACTAGTGGTGGATTGTGCAAGTCACCAAGCTACATGGCAAACATGATTATGCTGCCTCATTAGGATTAGTGCTCATCCGTTTTGTAAAGCTAGAGCCAGGCTAATAGTGAAGAAGGTTATCAACTTCTGGCTCTACTATAGTTCAGACCCGTAGTAGTAAATGAGCACTACACAAGTGTTTCCTAAAGAAATCCAACACTCTTACCCTTTGAATATTATTACATGGCTGACCCCCCCTTGTTTCCTCTTGTGTCCAAGAAGGTACACTTTTTGTTAGCATATTATATAGTACTTTGCAGCAGAGAGTGCCTACAATGCTCTACCCACAACAATAATAAAAAGTTTGGGCTAAAAATACATTAACATCTATATTAAGATCAAGTGAAAGAAGACATTTTCAGACTCCCAGGGGTCTCTTAAGAGTCAACATACAAATTAAAATCTTGCTGTACAATCTTTGTACAATTTTATGTTTACCAAATGTATGTATTATGAAGGCCTACCTAATCTATCCAATCAATTTGCATCCAACTAGGCAGGCTCTTGCACTACACAGTTGTTTTCAGATCTAAACTAGATTGTACAACCAGTAAAAAGCAGGGGTGGGCAATTAATTTTTTCTAGGGGCCCCATGAGAAACTAGGATTGTTCTGGAGGGCTGAACCAATAGGGCCTGTTGGTTCGGCCCTCCAGAACAGTCACAGTTTCTCATATGATTAACACATGGTACCAAGCAACACACCTACCGTGTGTTACAGTGTGGCACGTGCATTGCGTT